AGAATATTGTTGTATGTGCAATTCATGGTTGTACGTGGGCTGGGATACTGCCAGGGCGCCCACACCTAGACAGGAGGACGATTAGGGTCCTCAGTCAAAGCCTTTGGCTCAAAAGCCTAACCGCAAGGCAGCGGTGTTTGGCGGGAAATGTAAATGCATTAGCATTTCTACGGAACAAGTCGCCACATGTTCCAACCCCCAATCTGGAGGGCCAGGAGACTGTGTTCGTCAGACCTCTAACCATTGACCAACCTGGTATGAGAGACTCTGTGAGTGTCGCGGGACACTCCAGTATAGCTCAATGGATCGCTGAGGTGCGCAAACCGTCACACCACCGTAAGGTCCAGTCTCTTCGTGACGGACACCCGTATTGATTGGCTTGCCACTGAATGCAAAACACGGTAAAGCTACTCTTATTGTAGCGTAACTCAGGAAATGTAGGATATCTTGCTGAGACCGCAGCCACCATGATAAGTCACACTGGGGGGCGCTTATTGAGTTCCCAGCGAATAGTCTTCGAGCCGGGAGCAGTAAGTGAGTACGAAGTGAAGGCTTCAAACGAATGAATTATTCAACCTAGCCAGAGCTGGTTTCCTCTCGCTAACTGCCTCCCGTCTATCACTGAGGGTAAGTCTTCATGTCGGTTGATTGTGACGTGCGAAAACTGCATATAAAAATGCCTTCATCACCCTATCAGTGTTCACGAATACAATCCTGAATGTGGTTGTTTCACTAAGGGAGGGAGTTTTGCTCATTTTGAAAGATGTTACTTAATGACAGCTCTTGTGACCATTTTTATGGATGCTTCCAATACTATTTGAGTCACAATGTTCGTCATTTTTACATCTACTTTACCTTTTTTCGTTGTGATCTGAATTGAACGAGAAAATTTGACTCATTGACCCATAATGCAGCAATGCGAAGATGACCGCGTTTTGCACCCTCAAGGGCGATTCAAAAACTGAGTTGATCAGGGACCAGAGAAAGAATGCATGAATCTTTGCATAACACACTCAGGGTGGCGCACCGGCTGGGACCGTTACGTTGCCCACTTCGGTTTGCAGCTGACAATGGTGGTTTATTGTTCTGTGGGCTTTTCTGTCAGGCATACTGCCGTTTGTCATTCTCCAAAGTTGTCCTTAGTAATTCGCGTGTATCGTTTGGTGAGCGAGTGCTTCCTTTGAGACAAGGACAAAGGCAACCTCTTTTCTGCCATGAGGGGTATATAAACTGCAGGCCAAATTGTAGATGGAATAAACAGTGCTGGTTCACTTACACTGAACTCTATGACAACGACACAACTAAGAAGCGGAGATCGTCGGTCAGGCCGGTAAACTGACAGTATGTTAAAGCCTGATTCTACCGCACAACTGGCATCGTATTGCGTCGCACATCTCCATAATTCCAAGCTGAATCTCGATACGTGTGATATTGTGACAGTTTTTCACTGGATGGGTTGTTAAGTCGTTATTTGGTTGTTCACTATGGTTTTGATTGGTCACTCCTGTGTGTTTTTCGGTAACGCGACTATCAACATGGGATCGTTGCGGCTTCCGCAATCGTTTTACCGGTGTATGTCTTGGGTCCGCTTGATTAACATGCACGTTCAAATTGTGCAAGCCTAGTGCGAGTGTTCCCGTCAATCTCACCCATCTTAGCGATACCTTCGCCTTTTATTACCCATTGGCTCGCATCAACGGTTTCTCCCTAACGCTCAAATAGAAATTACTCCGGCACATGACTTACTGTTTCAGTTCCTATTTTCCCTACGGATGCCCTAAGAAATCCTCTTGAGAGTGACTTCTTCCTCCTAGCTTGAGAACCAGATACAATGACGTATGTTGGCCCGTAGAGAGATAGAAGTTGATTGATGTTGAAAAAGTTGTGTCAAGTGCGCTTGTTTCCATTTCAGACAATTTCCGATATATACTTTAGTCAGTTGTTACATCAGGGTCAAGTAGCCTGATAAGCAATAAAACTTCATTGTGCATAATCTGGCTGAATATTGCTGAAAGAACAAACGTTATCCCTGGAAGTGTACGTAAGGAGAGCTCAATAGTTGCCAAATAATTATAAAGTATTCCGGTTTGCAGTATTCCGCTCGTTAGGCGAACTGATTGGTTTCTTGATAAAGTCTGTTTAGAGGAAGTAACTGTTTATGCGGCGAATGTCCTACGGTATCATCCACATTCCATTATGCCTTTGCATTCCCCATAAATAGCTTATTTCTTAGCTTTTGTTAGTCTGCTGAGTACCAGTTAGTAGATAAAATGATTGGCGTAAGAATGAAAACCGTGTTTTAAGGCACTTTGGTAAACAGTTTTGTCCTTTCGTTCGTCAGGTACCCAAATAGTGTCAATACATAAAATCCTATCGCACGTTTTTGTTGGAAGGGGAGGTCTTTGGGATTGGAGGCGTGGTCTCTCAAGAGTTTCATGGAACCATTGTCAAATTGCCTTAAAGGGTGAATGGTCCATTTAGGAATGAACTTATTAGGGTGACTGCCTTGGGTGAGTTGCGAGCTGGCGGGGTCCCTTAGACCTGAAAATCATTAAGAATGCCCGATTACTAGGAGAGTTTTTTCTGAACACCACTGATTAACCATAATGCATCTGTTTGCGCATATGTCTGTTCGACAGGATACGGGATTCTAAGGTTGGATATCTTTTCATTCAGCTTCGCCCTTCAAGAAACCCCATTGTGTTCTCTAACCGCGAATCAGTTTTCACCATTGATTGGTATATTTTTTGCCAACACTTCAATTCCCCGGCGATGAATTCTGCATCATTGTTTTTGTTACCAAGATACAAGCCGTTCATGTGGTTGCTAGACCACTCCTCCAAATTTGAGCTATCTGAAGTACTCAGTATAATTGGCATGACTCTGTGATTCTTAATATGCTAGGTTAAGTGTATTGTACAAGGGTACCTAGGAATGCGTGGAAGACATACAAAAGATCCATTTCGACGGCCTGGAAATACGGATTTCTTTCTGTACAGTGTCTGCCGCTCCATGCTTGTCACTTATCATCTTCGCCTGGACCTTATGCGTGAGATGTGATGCGCGAATATACAATATATGGTGCGCATACTCAGAGGGAGATGTCCTTCTGTGATTTACTATCGGCGAACAGGATATGCCTAGAGATACGATCACCTAAGTATTCCTTTATTCCCACTCGTGAAGACTTTCATTTGTGGCGCGTTTTAAACGCCGGTCGGGTTTTAACCCGTACATTGTCCACATTCATATCCCGTGTTGTAATTAATTGGTTTGTTTGTCTTCCCATCAGGATACACTACATCTCCACTGCTAAGTACATAAAACCGTTTCTGACTTTTGGCCATTCCAGATAAATGAAGACTGGAGACAGAGGCCAAACACGAGGTACGTTGTCAACGTCTTTGTTCTCTCATTCTTCCTATTGTCGCTTTTGCCGTTGCGACCCGCATCCATGGTCAGGACAGCCCGATTGAACTAATTAGTACCAATCAGTAAAAAAGTGCAATGCGTCGAATTGCGAGCAACCAGTGTCCTTGAACTCTCACGCTCTGGAACTCTTCCGAGTTGTCTTTTGTAATCATATGGAAAGTGCATCACTGTGTAAGCAATAGAGCATAATACAGTTCATAATGAAGACTTCATTTTCGCTTACAATAACGGACGCACCTGAAGACCAGATTCGAAAGGATTGTGACTTACAATGAAATCAGCCAATAATGGAACAGTCTTCTTGAGGTATATAGTAGTCCTTGCAAATGATCGTAGGGTTTGATGTTATAACCAAAAACCTGATAGTTGGAACCTTCGCGGCCCATGAGGTATCTTTCCTCAGATAATTGGGAGCGAATTACAGAGGAAGAATCCGCTACATTCGGATAACAATTCAAAGAAACGGGCAATCAACTTGAGGTGCATCTCTCTTAGTCCAATCGAGCAAACCACATACCAAGTAGGGAAAGAGCATGCAGTAGCGAACCCATCAGGGAAGCAATCAGGCCATAGCTGCAAAGAACAAAAGCGTGCCACTCCATCAAAATAATAATAATCGTTCAGCTGTAACACCCTTCCGGTGCCTAGCTGCCATGCCACCCGGAGGAAGCACGAGGGCTGGGATACTGCCAGGTTGCCCAGGCCTGGACAGGGGAAGTCGAGTGGCAGAGGTCGGATTCGAACCACGGACCTTCCGGTCAGTACCTTAGCGCTCTAACCACTTGGGCCATCTCGCCCCACTCCATCAAAAACCCATAGAACATTTTCAAACTAGAAACAGTTGCCGATCCACATAGCGTCTAAGTAATTCACAAGATTGTTTTTTTGGACGACCCATTAATTAACCGTAATACCACCACAGATAATTAACTGCGCTGGATCATGAAGGTTAACTGTCCAAGACTCTTGGTGGCAATATTCTACGCAGACCGTCAGAGGCGGTTATGTATTCCAACAATTATGACCACACCACACCATCATTACAGTGATATCACGTTTGGCAAATAGGAGAAGCTGGATATACATTTCTCCATCATGATTTACGCAAGCGAACTGATGGGATGGTGAATACGAGCAATCAGGTGCGAATAGTCCCGAATGCATTCATAGAACGAATAACTTCGAGATTCGCTTTGCTCTATACTTCTTATCCGGAGTCTTTCACAACCAGTAATGTTTCACAAGCCGTTCATGTAGAAGTGTCAAACAAGTGTGCGAGAATGTCGTGTCTGTGATACCCGTGCCCAAACAGTGTTTTCACCTAGCAGCTGACCAGACCCCTGTACTCACACGCAAACAAAGTGGTTAATTTCTTTCTCAGTCAAATTGTCCTCTCACAAGTGAAAAATAAACTGCTGCGCTGCGTGGCGATTAGCTGAACTAATACGAGAATGCAGCTATCACCTGATTTAGTGGCTCCAACAGCTTCTTGTCTGTGGTAATGGACACAAACAGTCCAGATGGCAAACAACGCGCCCCTGTCGATCTCCAAAGTGTATGAGCTAAGGTCATTGATCTCTCAGCCACCATGGTCAGTACAAAGATATACATGTATCGCGATATCTCGAATATCGTAGCGACTGAAGCATGAGGCGGTCTGGTGCAGTTGCCTGAGAACATCACAAACGAGAGATTCATCTGGGTTCCAGGTGAGTCTCTCGAAAAACCAAATTAGTTTGCAAATGAGTGTGTATTCGCTAATTTCGTGCAATTTGGTTTCAAGTAGAACATAAGGTTGACGGAAACTCGGGGGCTGCGCCTAATTGATGAGCCCCAAAAAGGGCGAAACCGGTCGTGGGCTGTCGGCGGATTTTCAGCAACTTTATGAGTAGTACATTACAAAGATAAACAACGCCGGTTTATGCAGTTAGACGATTGACCGAGTCCTCAACACGACCGCCTTTGTATGCATCTAGTGGTATGGTACACCACTCGTGACTTCTTAGTTTTGAGGCTTTCGTGAAAGCTTCCAGCGAGGAATGTTACATTTTGGCAGGATTTTCTCAGGCACATCAGTCACAACTCAAGTGAATTTCCCACCCTTGTAGAGAACACTCATGAAATTCCAAAAGGTCTCTTTCCTGATGTTTCTACCTTAATCTCGTATATACTTATGGATTGATAAATCTTACAGCGTCACACTGTTCTCAGCTTTGCGTCGAAAATGATTTCATCATAGTCGAGTAAGTCAGCAGTGAGCTCAAGCCTAAGTACACTTGGATAGGAAGCTGGGCCTTCCCATTGCTTATGATGTTGAAATTTACCCACTAAACATCGTGCGCTCAGCACATCCTACTTGAGTATTGATTTGTCATCTGTTTGTTTGCTTTCGTTCAGAGAATATTCGAACCAACAATCCTAGTGAGGTACGGTTGAATCCGCGACGCGTTTCCTACGAGTGCTCACCATTATAGCCCGTTAGATTCTCTGCATAGTTTTAGCTTCCCTCTTGCCCAGTTGATCCCCCTTTTGGTGCGTTGTTCACCCGCGCGGAGTTTCTCACAAATTTGTTTTCGCATCCCTAACCCAACCTATTATCATGCCCGTTTCCCATCAGATCATTGTCTACCGCCACGATTGTCTTTCAGGTACACATGTCGCAAGGATGTTCACGAAATTCTGCGTGATCTGCGATCCACAAGCCTGTGTCCCTCTCGACAAAAAAAGCGGTGACTCTTTTGGTCTGACCTCTTCTTTTGTTTCTTGCGCCACTTGCACTTCAAAGCTGAAAAAACAGGATAGTGCAGCATTGCTGTGTCTACCTGTTTGTTATTTTTGCCTACATTATCTATCCACAGATGTCGAAGATGGGCGATTCCAGTTTCTACTCGATATCATATCATATCAGTGCACCATTTTTTCGCTGCGTTGTATACCGACAACTCACCTTTTTATCAACTAAGTAACTTTTTTCTAGATTTCACTATCCACCGAATTATACTTTGTCTTGTCTGCGCTTTGCACCGTTTATACTGCTTTCAAACTCACGTGGCTTTAGTTAATCTTCTCTTACACCGTTGACTTTTTTACTTTACATTTCTACATGGTGAATGTATCATTAGTAAATTACCGAAGTTATCCATTTTCTTTTTTTTCGGGCTACAGATCTTGGGGCAGGGCTCCCAGTTACCCCCCCCCCATCCTGGAGTTTGCTCATTGATATTATTGCAGTGTTCTGCGGTACTACCCTATGCTCTTGAGGAAAATGCTGGGATCCGTAATAACTCATGGTTTGTTGGCACATAATGAGACTCTCTAAACGGTTCTTACCTATTGTCGTCCTGCTGATGTACGACCAAGCGTAAAAGTTATGGTCTCATCAAACCAAAAGATAGCGAACCTGACGTGAAGCATACTTTTGCTCCGACTGGTACTGAAAATATGGTAGAGTATTGTCAATGGACTCCGTATCCGCCTATACTGCCTGTTTCTTCCGCTATATCGCCGGAGAATTGTGGTCAATCATCGCTGTTGTGTAGGTTATACTGCCTCATCTTTTGCATATGCGATCTGCCTCGCTTAGCTTCTACTGGAGGTGTTTCGGTTTAAAAGTCTGAGTACTTTTGAGTGTTCTTCAAAACCGAGGCCAGTTGTCCTCTATGTGACAAGAGCAATGTGTATCAGGAAAGTGGTGTCGACACGTCACACCGTTAGTGATATGAGCGAGCAGATGGTCAGAAACGATAAGAATGAAAGGATTTAAAGTTCGATATGCTTGAACCGATAGCCAATTACTCTGGCGCTTACCTGCTGATGGGCAGGTCTCAGGCAATGACCTTGGCAATATGTCCCGCATAGAATGTACTGCTCTACTTATTCGGTATGTGGTGCACAATAGTTGGGTCCATGGTATAGATTTAAATGCGACAAAACACTGAAAAGTTCATATTCAGTCATAACATAAGTATACTGTAAGTATAACTTCAAAGAAGACTGAATCAGTTCACTAAGTAGTCATTTAGACTCTACCTGCACCATTCAGACAGGGCGTGAGATAGATCAGGGATTAAGGCGTTAACTTTCTAACTGGAAGGTAGGTGATTCACCTATTGTACTTAGAACCATTGCCAGTGTAACCTACCAAATCAGGTGCCAAACATGGACTAGGAAAGCGATTATAGCACCACACCTAAACATGTAGAGAACCCGCAATATAGAGTCCAGAGCAAGTGTTATGCTTTTAGTTTTCATATACCGTCAAAGGATCACACCCAGGTCCTGGATGGACGTTTCGCTTGTTGCTTCCCTCAGTGTGTGCTACTTTTCGGCTGGACGCGAAATAATAGGAAGTTCATCATATTCGCAGGATTAATAGGATCCCATTTTCTACCATCTATCGGTGAATGACATCTGCGCCTCACTGGAATATCGCGTCGTCTTCCTTTGTGAGTGCTCTTCTGCATAGTTCACGCTCGTCGGCAAACGTGATCAATTTCGCGGTGATAATCACTAGATCAATAGTGTCTAGGAAGCAACGAATTACCTACCTGGCGTCAATCTTCCTTGGCTCACCTATGTTTGTAGTTCGCACAGCATTTTGGCGACCCAGTCAGAGAGGTGACCCGTGTTCCACACCTCTGAAGGGAACATAGCAAAGATACGTGATTAACTTAAGTGATTACTTCGAAAAACGAATGAATTACGCAGGGTATCGGTGTATTCCACCGATGACGATCGCGTTGTTGATGCACAAACTTATTTGCCAATTATGCGTAGGCCGAAGAGGTCCTTGCCCGTAGGCATGTCTCAATTTACCTCCTGACGGCTTTTCCAAACAACTTGCCAATCAAACATACACAGCGATGATTCCACTAATCTTCTCTCGAGAAACGTATTAATTATTGTCTACCGCCACACTAGTGGCAGCCTTTTGCAACCTAACAACGTCCCGAGCGAGCACACTGTCGGGTTTGCGATAATGGGAGCTAGTTTTCCTTTGGAAATATGTATCCATAACATGTGCTACAGGTTGAGTCTGATTTGTGTCATGTTTTCCCATCTGTTGCAAATCCACGTTGGTGAAACGGAACGAAGGAGGCGGCAGACGCTCCGGTACCTGACATCCCTTCACCGCCCCATGTGATCATGAACAGTGCATCCTTCTTTCTACGCAAATGGGTCCATTCCGCACACATCACATAGTGCATTTCCTCAGAGGTCTGCAGTCAACCCACTCATATCTCCATTGCTTATTTGTATATAACATCACGGTCTGACTTCTCGCTTCTGATTAAATGGCGTGAATGTCAGTGGCAAATTGTGCAGTCAGTCTGTTTTATTAGAGCTGGCTTTGTAGTGATGTTGTTCTCCAATGTTGCCTAGAGGGCGTGCATAATACTGCAATTGATCCCCTTTTTTTGATGCGAACCAGTTTCATCTGAGCCTTACCACTCCCTTACCTGAACACCTTGTCTCTGCTTCGAAGGCTGCTTCCCACGGGTTCGAACTGGTTGGAATAAATGGGCTGATAAATCCGTAGCCGTCCCTGGTTTCTTCGTGATTTCAAGTCTGCGTCGTTCATGAGCTTGACGGCTTCAGGGAATGAGACGCAGTCTCTGTCGCCCTTATCCTAATTTCCTACAAGATGTGATTCACACGGATAAAACTGTGGATCAAGTTTCCGAAGAAGCTTGCAGCCACGGTTGAATCATCACTATAATGTCTCATAAAACACCAAACCTCAGTGAAATACACTCAAGCCCAAGGACGACCAGGACTACCTCTTGTATTCAAGCATCCACGACATGGTATATAGGATCAAGGCTCTTTCTCAAGTTTCCCGGGTCGGTTTTGTCCTTGCCGTTCAGCGGCTGTCGTTCACCTGAAAGGCACAAGTGAAAAAGGATATAGCACTGCTCTTTAAGTTCTCAGCGCGTGACAGTATGCTTGCGAGCGCAAGGACTTATATAAATAAGTGTCTAATAATACTTTGAACTGGGTTCTAGAAGGAGCACGGACAACCAACGCAGGAAGGTTATTCCACACAGCTACTACCCGAAATGAGGAAAAAATTTTCCTGATGTATCTGTGCTTTCCGAGCTTGAAAATCTTCTTACCATGTCCCCACCATATGTTTGCTGTGTCAACGGTGAGAAAACTGTTTGCCAAGCTTTGTTTAAACATGGCATTATTAGGAACTGAGTCCCCTTATAGGTGACGATACTCCAGGGGAAAGAGGTGAAGCACCGCGAGACGCGTTTCGTAGTCCACGGATTTGAGGCTGACAATTATTTTCGTAGTGGCTCTCTGGACACGCTCAGTGAGCGTTACGTCCTTCGTGTGTCCTTAGTTGGTTGGCATTTTCAAGAAGCCTGAAGCCTTAACCTGGGAAGCATCCAAGGAATTCTAAGCTGGCAGATATAGACTCCCCTTCATGTTATCAGCACTCACTTAAACTGCTGTTGCCTTCTGATTAAAACGGGTGACCTTTAGCATTAGATGTTTCCGATATCGCATTGTCTGATTTAGCCGGACCCGTTGCAGAGTAATTTAGGAAACAATGGTCCTCTGCTCATGGAGTCCATGTTGGTTTTTTTTTGTGTGGTAAGCTCGAGACTCTGAAAGACCGTAATCTACACAAGGAGCCAATAGATACCAGGATCACAGAACTAGCGGGATTTTTTTGAATTTAGATTCATTTGGTCATTAAGTCTCCACTTTGACGAAAGCGCATCTACGGGGCACACGAAGGAGGAATATATGGTCCTGTTATTATCTTTTATGCACTGGCCGAAAAGTATCCTCCGATGACACATGTTCTAAGAACTCCCCTATTTTGACCACAATCAATTCAAGGCATGCATAGTATTTCGTCGATGTGAAACTTACTTCAGTTCACCATTTTCGTAAGCGTTTTAGTGTGAGAGTGGTGCAACGAAACACTGAAAGCGCTAACGCACTTTCATAAATGTCTGCCCCGATGATACGATTAGTATCGTTCACTGAAGTCCAATGTCTTGCGGATGCAGCTGACACCAATAAGAGTCTTTCTCTTTACCAGATTTAGGTCTGATATTCACTGACTTGGATGAAAATATCTAAATTCCCGTCTGGTTCACCAGTCTAATTTTCCCAAATACATGTCTTTTCATTTCAGCAGGGGCTTTGCAGAGACTAGTTAAATCACACTCAGAGGTGCAAATCACTCTTGGTCACAATCGCAAACCTCCTCAATGCCATTGCAAGGACTAATACAATTTCGTGCTAGGTATTTCTTTTACAGTTTCATTAGTTACTTAAAAAGCAGTGATATAGACAGTCCCATTGCGCCCATAACAGTCACCACGGCTAAAGTGCTGCTTCATGTTACAATATGCTGTTCGGTTTTCTGGTTTCCAAGACGAGAGTCAGAAGCTCGCTCAGAAGCATCTTTCTCAGCTCATTCAGGAAAAGTAACGTCGGCAGAATGGAAGACAGATACATTGCATCGATTCACAGTAACATGAGGGGTATTCACATAATGACTAGTTTTACCGCGTATATAGGCCTTAGCATTTCCAAACTGATAAAAAATGAATGCGAAGTGGACTTCAGAATTCAGAACTATCACAAAGAGAAGCTTGAAGGTCGCTGCAGTAATTCATTAAAAATTTGCCAGTCGCACGCTTTATCCCCTGAAACGTTAATGGAACAGTTGATTTCGCTCCCACGGTTATCAGAATAATACCTATGCTGTCGAAAATGGGAAAAACCCATAGCTGCTCTCTCACCTCCCGGTAGCGCAGTAGGCAATTCCGTGGTCTTGTATCTCACCCCCCGCAACTCCTGTTGATCGCAGCCCACCCGTTGTTCGAGCTACACTCGCCACCCATTCTCCCACTTCCCAAAATGGCACTAGTGTTTTCTCCGGTACCACTTCCTGCTGTTTACTGGTTTCCTCGGGCCACTGGGCCACCCTACCATTGTCGGTCCAAGTCTCACCACCTCCAATCACTGTTGCATTCCAGGTTGTTGTTTTCACTTGTTCACGCTTCTCCCACATGCCTGACTCAAACCAAACACTTTTCATCCTTGTCGCGCGTAAGTGGCTGCGGACCACCATCTCTTGGCTCTTATGTTGTACCCAGTTAAGACGGAAGAAAAACCTGGCGGTTGACGAAATGCGTCCACTCAACTCACGGCCACACGTATAGAAATCCTACCTGTTTCACCTTTACATTCGTTTGTGCATTATAACTCTAGACATGGTTAAGTGAACGTGATTCACTGCTTCGCGGTCTCCTCTGCCACTTTTCTTCCTTCAACGATAATGATAACATATTCCTTCCGAACTGCTGCCACTCATCTCGGGCTCAGGTTTCTCGATCTGTTTGATCACGGGAAAAATCGATACGACCGAGCGCCGAATCTTCCCCGGGAGTCGACGCTGAATCTATAAAACGATAATTTCAATCGGATACTATCGAGGCCTCACCAACATGCAGCGGCCATTAGCAGTGCATTCTGGAGCTCGTCCTTAGCCACGAGAGGTTTGTGATTGAAAATATCAGGGGAACATTTCTTCTCGATCGCAGCGACCAGGTCACTCTCGAATCGGAACATGGTGGTTACCAGAACATCTTCACAAGTCATAAATTCCTCTTCCTGCACTTCGCTGTAGGCATTACATGTAAAACGAACCATCAGTTTTTGATCAGTTGGCTGTTGATCTGTTCTCAAAGCTTGCCTCACAAATCAACAGTCAAGCTCGGCGAACAGCTCCACAGCCACCTGATTAACAACAAATACACTTACGTGAGCTGTCAATATTTCGACACATTACCGAAAACCAGTCGACATCTGAGCGACATCCGTTGAACCGCAATTCTCCCCATACCGGGGCAGATGATAAGTTACTGACAACTGCAGGAATGCCCGACACATATGACGACTCCATTCTCCTACCCTCTCAACGCAAACCCTGCGGGGCAAATATCCCGGTTCCATGCGATAGCTCTCAAACCTAAGCTGAAAAAATGAGCATTGTACTGGCAATTTTTTACTACGATTCGACAAGGATTCATCCATATCAATTTGCCAAAAATTGACGCCGGTTTCCAGGTCCCAAAAAAGACCGATTTGGGCGACAAATTTTTCAGACTACAAAGATTTTATCTAGGGTATGTCACGTGCAAGCAAATGACCAGGCCCCTTGAGCAATTATTTGTTGTCATCTTAGGCCAGCTTTCATGGTCAACCACCGCACTGACCCAAATACTTTCGGAATCATGTATGAAGTATATGCATGCGATCCGACTATCTTAGGACACCTCATGCCTTTACACACAAAGAACGCCCACCACAATACCGTTTCCACATTCCGGTAACCTAGTTAACCGCGGCTAGGTAACTTCCATCACATAAGACATCAGTCCTAGGATCTCTGAAGAATTTATCGCTGCTCCCATCTAGTCCGCCTGATCGCTTTCTGCTCATTTTTTGCGCTTGGCCTGCTCCTCACCACTTGCAAGTGAGCCACAGTGCACCATCATAACGCTTAACCACCCTTTCATACCACTTACCAATAAACCTTACAACTTGATGAAGGAGTCATGGGAATCCTTTATAAAGTTCCTGCTTCCGGAAACCCCTAAACGTCATTCAGCATGGTTTATAACTAATCCAATGTTACTTTAATGCAGCATCATGACGCTACTCACATGGGTCAACGCAACAACCACATCCAGAGCTGGGAGAACATCGCTCTCAATACCTCGTCTCACGCTGGCCGTCGGTCATTCTCGCCTACTGAAAAATCAAAATTTGGCTCGATTTTTCACTTTCCAGCGTTTTTAAAACACCCGCAATAGCACCTCAGGGATAATTTCTTCTGGAATCATTTATCACATTCTTTATTTAATCTGTGACTTTTCTGGTACCGTCCGAGCAACTGACGCAGTTGTAAACAAATAACCTTAAATTCTGGCTAACTTGCTCCGCGTTCCTACATGGATTGTCTATATCTGACCGCTTGTGCCGCGTTTAACTCCCTACAATAAAAACTAAATGGAGGTGCACAGCCCATACACTCCCATAAAAAGGTATGGGCGAACCATATAACACCTCAAACCTAGCGATTGTCTTGCCCGCGCGATTGGATAGATCGCCCTGCCATTGCCACTACGGTTCATATGGTTTACATAATGTGGTTAATGATTGCAGTTTAACCGGCTGTTTGGGGATCATCCAGCTAATGACCTGGATTTTCATCCCGGTATTGGCGTTGCGCTCTCGCTTGTCTCGTGTCTGGCTGGTTCGTTGGAGAGCTTCCATTCAGAAGTACAGTTTCTTCATTCTCATCGCTCCACTCTGCTATCCGTGCGCGCTGCACTCAAGCAAATCTTCACGCCTGATGATGGGCAGATCGGATATTTACCCAATAAGTTCATTTCAGAACTTGTATAGAGCTTACCATTTCTGCTACTTTGTTTCATGTCCAACTCGTTGAACACCGTTTTCGTATGATATTATCCCCGTTTGATACGTTGGCTATCCCAACAGCCCACTTTATCCACCCGCCTTGCGTCCATTGAAGCCTAGAAGCCTCTTAGAATTATAGTCTGCACATTCTCCAACCTTTCTGGAACAGTGCAGTCAAATGTGCAAGTCCTGGTCTGAGCAGAGAATCCGTCCAGAAAATAGGGCTCAAGTTCCTTGCGTCCCTCCACCACCTGCCACAATGGGGAATGCAACTTCAATTTAATATTACTTTACGAATATGGGCATCCTCGTGACCACCTGCATTGTATTAATTGTATCACGTATGCCGCAACCGACCAATTTTCCCCCGCTCACCAGAAGCCCCCACAGCCTGATGACAAACGTTGACAGGATAAGGCCAGGCCCTACATCTGGTCGATTCTGATTACTTCCTGTAACAAACTGTGGAAGTCGACTGTATTTGTTAAGAATGCCGGCGCATTGAAATCCACACTAGACCGGGTACTTTTCGAGCTCTTCCACTCATAGCAATGACCTATTGTCCCTGTAATATCAGGCACGCTTGAGTACTTCGTTCCATTTCCCTAATAATACCCTTCTGTTCTAGAAGACCTGAGTCAGTGAGCTGCCACCTTGATACACGTATACACCAAATTGGTCTATAGTGTCGTTATTCAGGATGGACACCTAAATGGATGTTCCCCCAAATCGATGTAGACAGTGCAGAACAGTGGTCGTTGGACTAGCAACTGTCTCTTACTGACGAAAAGTGCGTCCATATGTCACTGTGGGGTAATCAGCAAACGCGTATGTCGCACACGGTGTGAAGGAACCAGAAGACAACACGGGGACAGGTGGCAAAAAAGGATTTGAGTATCTGTATCTCTTCAAACATGTCCTCGTCATTGCGCCAAAAATCGGCTAGAAGGCACTTGCCGTTCTACGCACGAGTCGGCGCATCTCCCGTACTGCTCGCATGGACTTCCGAATAAACCATAAGTGCTACGTCAGTCCGATCCTTGAATATACCAACCAAATTGTCTACTCAGGACGCACGAAGGACGAGATCCTCATTGAGTGTATCCAACAAGCCGCTGAAAAATGGTTGCCGGTCTTAAATCCAAGGACTATGAAACGCGTCCCGTGTTGCCGGACCGCTATTCCTTGGAGCATTCTCACTTCTGAGGAAACCTAATACTTAATTATGTCCTGTTTCAACAATGTTCGGTCAAAAAGTTCTTCACCGCCAACCCAGCAAACACACGGCGGGGACATGGTAAGAAGATTTTCAAGCCCTGCAAGCACACTTTCATTAGTCGAATTTTTTCTCATTTGCTGTGGTTGCGTGGTATAACTTACACCTGACAGCCGTTCACTCTGCACGCAGTACACAGATAAAAGCGGCAGTCGCTGAACGGTTAGAGTGAAAATAACCTAGGAAACTTGGGCAAAAGCCTCGATCCCGAATATCGGTGCGTGAGTCCGTCAGATGCGTTTTACTACATCACTTTCACATAAGGTCGTGGCAATAAAAAGCCTCGAATTCAAATTATACAACAGGCCCTTTGGGATCGAATAATTGAGCAATCCTTCTGCGACGTACATTTATGGCTTTCCAATTATAAAAGGACGCCATCGGCCACTTCTTGGCGGAGTACACTTTTCTGGCAATCGTGTATGGTTTTGTTGTAGTCAGAAACCCGTAAGGAAATACCGAAATTTCTAAAAATCTTTACTTCATGTCTCAATATATGGTTAAATAACAAGTTTTATGCCAACATATAATCACAAAACTCAGAATTCAGTTAGTTCCAACATTGTGTCATGCACATAACCATAAGTATGATATGCATTTCGGAAAATAAGTGCAGATATTTCATTTTTCGACACATTTTTCAGCACCGTAAGAAGATTTTTCTGAATTTTCGCAGAATCCTCAGTGCTAAGTGTTCAGATGCGTGTTTTAAGAATAACCACAACTGCCACAAAGTGATAGCTATAGCTATCTCAAATATATTTGAGACACCCTGTTACCTCACTTTAGATAAATTCCGTAGGTATATGAAGCTAGCTTACATTATTTTACAGGTAGTTTAAGGGGTCAATCTAATTATTATTGTCCAAGGAGCGGAGTACTGGAATGTGGGTACCTGCCGACAGATGCATAGCAAGCACGATTTCCTGGATACATTTTTGCTCCGTTTGCCAAAAACCCAAACTACGATTTGTACCAACAGTGTGGAGTCGCACAAACCGTGATGCTTCGAATTTGTCTTAACGGTTTTCTTGTGAAATACTCAAAACTTGCCACGAAAGACATTTATTTTACTTGCGCCAAAAGGTAACATTTTTCCCACCGCTAGTAAGCTGTGAGATCTAACTATCTGGTGACCAGATCACAAAGACCACCCAGGATGGTGGGTAGCTTGTGCACGCAAGATCACAACCACTTCACAACCAATGATCTCACTCCAAAATCAGGAATTTAACCAGGGCCACTTTCCAACTGGCTACGTCGCCAATAATCTAACTCATATAAAGGACAACTCATCAGAGATATTC